ACGAAGCAGTAACGAAAAAAGAGGAGCAGCCAAAGGGTGTGGTTTCCGAAGAAAGAGCTTACTCCTGACAAGGAAGTTCCTGCAAGAGAGTTGAAGGATACAAGAACCGAAGAAACTCCTTTCGCTGCGGAAGAAGCCTTTGAAACAGGCACCGAATATCCGAAACCAGCAGAGTCACCTATTGCTGATGAGAAACCCAAACAGTATCCAGCAGTTACTGAACTGGTCACAGCTACTATGCGGTACGAGATGGAAAGTCCAGAAGAATTCGAGAAGCGAATGGAAGAAGTGCCACCGAAACCGGAAGAAGAATATGAGAAGCGAATGGAGGAAATGTCTCCGAAACGGGAGGAGTCACCTGTCACTGTGGCGGAGCGTGAAGAATATCCAACTGTAACGGAAGTGGTTACCACAACCACCCGCTATGAGATGGAGAGTCCAGAGGAGTACGAGAAGCGAATGGAGGAAGTTCCTCCGAAACCGGAAGAAGAATATGAGAAGCGAATGGAGGAAATGTCTCCGAAACGGGAGGAGTCACCTGTCACTGTGGCGGAGCGTGAAGAATATCCAACTGTAACGGAAGTGGTTACCACAACCACCCGCTATGAGATGGAGAGTCCAGAGGAGTACGAGAAGCGAATGGAGGAAATGTCTCCGAAGCGGGAGGAGTCACCTGTCACTGTGGCGGAGCGTGAAGAATATCCAACTGTAACGGAAGTGGTGGGCGTGCGGAGCGTGAAGAATATCCAACTGTAACGGAAGTGGTTACCACAACCACCCGCTATGAGATGGAGAGTCCAGAGGAGTACGAGAAGCGAATGGAGGAAGTTCCTCCGAAACCGAAGAAAATAATGAGAAGCGAATAGAGATATCCTTCTCCGAACGAGAGGAGTCACCTCGTCACGATGCGGCAGCCGTGAAGAATATCCAACGTTGTGGAATCGTGGAACGTGCCGTTACCACAACCACCCGCTTATTGAGGAAGTGTATTTGGAGAGTCCAGAGGAGTACGAGCAGCGAATGGAGGAAGTTCCTCCGAAACCGGAAGAAGAATATGAGAAGCGAACAGAGGAAATGTCTCCGAAGCGGGAGGTGGCATGGTTGTCTGAGGAGTCACCTGTCACTGTGGCGGAGCGTGAAGAATATCCAACTGTAACGGAAGTGGTTACCACAACCACCCGCTATGAGATGGAGAGTCCAGAGGAGTACGAGAAGCGAATGGAGGAAGTTCCTCCGAAACCGGAAACAAGCAATATGTTATACAGCCGAAAGGAGGAGAGTGCCCACCAAAGATCGTGGAGAATGGTCACCTGTCACTGAGGAGCGCGAAGAGCGCCCAGTCGTCACAGAAGTGGTCACAACTACGACGAGATATGAGATGGAAAGTCCAGGAAGAGTTCGAGAAACGAATGGAAGAAGTGTCGCAGAAGCCCGTTGAGGAATTCGAGAAACGTTATGAGGACGAATCTCCGAAAAGAGAAGAGTCACCAGCTAAACTACAACGATGGAGCGTGAACTATATCCAGTGCGTTTTGAGCTTGCAGAAGTGAGTTCAACATACTACCATGCTGACTATGAGATCGGAACGTCCGGTATAAAGAAGTTGGCGAGAAGCCGAAGTGGACAAATTCCACCGGAACCGGAAGAAGAATATGAGAAGCGGTGGGAAGAAAAATGTCTCCGAAACGAGAGGAATCACCTGTCACTGAGGAGCGCGAAGAGCGCCCAATCGTGACAGAAGTGGTCACAACTACGACGAGATATGAGATGGAAAGTCCAGAAGAATTCGAGAAGCGACGTGAAGAAGTCTCTCCGAAACCGGAAGAAGAATATGAGAAGCAATGCCGGGAAAACTGTCTCCGAAACGGGGGAGTTCACTGTCAGCGTGTACGGAGGCGTGAAGAATATTCCAAACTGCTAACGGAAGTGGTGCACCACAGCCATTGCCGGCCTATGAAAGATGGAGAGTCCAGAGGAGCACGAGAGCGAATGGAGGAAGTTCCTCCGAAACCGGAAGAAGAATATGAGAAGCGAATGGAGGAAGTTCCTCCGAAACGGGAGGAGTCACCTGTCACTGTAGCGGAGCGTGAAGAATATCCAAAACCTGGACCCGAAGGACAGTGGTCACCACAGCCACCCGCTCCATGAGAGGATTTGAGAGGCAGCAGAGGAGTACGAGCAAGCGAGATGGGAGGAAGTTCCTTCCGAACACCGGAACACAGAATATAGGAGCCGAATGGAGAACTTTGCCACCGAAACGTAGAGATGGTCACCTGTCACTGAGGAGCGCGAAGAGCGCCCAGTCGTCACAGAAGTGGTCACAACTACGACGAGATATGAGATGGAAAGTCCAGGAAGAGTTCGAGAAACGAATGGAAGAAGTGTCGCAGAAGCCCGCCGTGCCATCGGTTGTTGGAGAATTCGAGAAACTATGAGAGAGAATCAAATCCGAAAGAGAAGAGTCAACCAGTAACTTACCAGGTGTGAGCATATGGAACTTTACCTGTATTTCCGAAGTAGAATGTGAAACGGAAGTGGTCCACAAACATACGACGAATGATGTAGATTGGAAAGTCTAGACCAAAAGAATATTCTGTGAAAAGCATAAAGCGAGGGTGAGACAAATTCCACCGGAACCGGAGAACGAATTATGAGAAAAGCGAAAAATTTTCCCTTCTAATGGAAAGTTACAATGTCTCCCAAACGAGCGAGGAATCACCTGTCTACTGAGGCTTAAGACCGCGGCGAGACTTGGGAGAGGCAACCTCAGTAATTCGCGCCATGCCAAGCCGTACTGATCCGCCCAACCCAGCGTTATAATTCTGATTTTACTGCTTGTTATCCCGCGAAGAGCGCCAATCGTGACAGAAGTGGTCACAACTACGACGAGATATGAGATGGAAAGTCCAGAAGAATTCGAGAAGCGACGTGAAGAAGTCTCTCCGAAACCGGAAGAAGAATATGAGAAGCGAATGGAGGAAATGTCTCCGAAACGGGAGGTAACTCGAGTCACCTGTCACTCGGTAAATGAGCGGATTGCGCTTGCAAGACCTATCCATACTTGCTAAACGGAAGTGCGTCACCACAGCCACCGGCCTATGAGATGCGAGAGTCCAGAGGCAGTACGGAGAAGCGAAATGGTCAGGAAGTTCTCCGCAATACCGAAAGAAGAATATGAGAAGCGAGATTGGAGGAAGTCCTCCTTCTCGAAACGGGGAAAGATCACCTGTCACTGTAGAAAACGGAAGCCTGAAGAATATCCAACATGTAACGGAAAACCCTTTGTGTATCGTCAGCCACAGTTCGATTCGCTATGAGATGGAGAAGTCCAGCAGGGTGCTGTCAGACGAGAATAGTCGCGAATGGAGGGAATGCCTGTGCGAAACGGCCGTAGGAGTCAACCTTGCTCACTGTGTTAGTCTTGTGAAGAATTATCCGAACTGTAACGGAAGTGGTCACCACAACCACCCGCTATGAGATGGAGAGTCCAGAGGAGTACGAGAAGCGAATGGAGGAAATGTCTCCGAAGCGGGAGTCATCCTGTCACTGGCGGAGCGTGAGAATATCCATGAAGAATATCCCAACTGTAACGGAAGTGGTCACCACAACCACCCGCTATGAGATGGAGAGTCCAGAGGAGTACGAGAAGCGAATGGAGGAAGTTCCTCCGAAACCGGAAGAAGAATATGAGAAGCGAATGGAAATATCTCCGAAACGGGAGGAATCACCTATCACTGAGGAGCGTGAAGAGCGCCCAGTCGTCACAGAAGTGGTCACAACTACCACGCGCTATGAGATGGAAAGTCCGGAAGAATTCGAGAAGCGACTGGAAGAAGTGCCACCAAAACCGGAGGAGTCGCCTATCACTGAGGAGCGCGAAGAGCGCCCAATCGTGACAGAAGTGGTCACAACTACGACGAGATATGAGATGGAAAGTCCAGAAGAGTTCGAGAAACGAATGGAAGAAGTGTCGCAGAAGCCCGTTGAAAAACGCTATGAGGAGGGATCTCCGAAACGAAAAGAGTCACCAACAAGTGCCATGGAGCCTGAACAATATCCAGCGGTTACAGAAATGGGCACAACTGAAACTCGTTACGGATTGGAGAGGAAATCACCAGAAGAAGTACCGAGCAGATCTGTTTTCTATCAGGAATCTCCAACACTAGAAGGAATTCCTGAAGAGGAGACGTCAACAGAGCTCTCAGTCAGAGACAGGCTTGCAGGTTTCGCAGGAAAAGCTGCAAAAATCGCAGGAGGTGTTGTGGTTGCACCTGTTGCTTTGGCAGCAATGGGTGCAGCAGCAGCGTACGAAGCAGTAACGAAAAAAGAGGAACAGCCAAAGGGTGTGGGGTCCGATGAAAGAGTTACTCCTGAGATGGAAGTTCCTG